CCCCCCGAGTGAAGAGCAGGGAGCTGGGGGGGTCAGAAGGCTGAGGCCTGCTCAGTTTCACTCAGCTGGCAATGCCAGGGCCGAGACCTGAACCCCGACAGATCTCTGAAGTCAAAACCTCCCAGAAACGAACTCACCCCCACGGAGAGCCCCGGGGAGGCTGGTGTGTGCGGGAGTGTGCGGGAGAGCCAGGCCACCCGGCAKACGCACTCCTAAGTCACATCCCCAAAAGCAACTGCAAAATGACCTCCTGGGGCCTGGACTTCGTCCCTCTCCATATCACGCTTGTTCCTTTTACAAGGCAATGATGATTTTTCTCCCTGCCGAGGCCCAACACTCCCCGCCCRTGATCTGGAAATCATGCTGCGTCCCTTACTTCACCCCAGGCCATAAATCATCCCCAGAACGGGGACTGGGTTGGCAGTTCTATCAGTGGATCCATGATCAGAGGCGGAATCCAATTTGGGGCTCTCGCTGTCGCCGGGGGYGGGCTCGGAGCCGGGGACCTTGCTTTTGGCCACGCAAGCACCTCCACCCACCTCGGAGAAGAGGGTCGGATCCGCTGACCAAGCAGGACTGTCACTCCCACAGGGTCTGTTTGCTGGTTCTAAGTGCACTCTGTGGCGGGAGGTCACAGGGACAGTGAGCACACGCCCCCGGAGCCAGGGACACAGGGAAACGGGCAGCAGAGGCCGCAGCAGGCAATCCATCCACCAGCAAGATGGACTGAGAGCCAGCAGTGAGCCCTGCACGGGCTCTTCCCTTGGGCGATAACTATTCTATTTAACAAATAAAACAAACGACAGCAGCTTGTATGTCATGACTGCTTGTGGACAGATCCTGTGCCAGCAGTCGACACACGTCAACCGAGTTTGATCTTTGCAACAGTCATCCCCATGGCACAGAGAAACTGAGGTGCAGGGAGGTCAGGAAACTGGCCAGGGTCACATGGCTGGTACGTGGCAGAGACAGGATTTGAACCTCCTGCCCAGGGGTTGCCCACCCAAGCACTGGAGAGCTGTAGGGACAGTGCAGGAGAGAGCAGGGTGGAAAAGCCCTGCAACCCTCGTGTGGGTTCCTGGGTTCAGGGACCCTGGGTACGCCCCCAGTCAGAATGGGAGTAGACCCTGATCTGTAGGTGGGCCTCACATCCTCCTCAGGCCGCTGAAACTTGCAGAATGCCTTGTACGTGCCAGGCACAGAGAGGAGACTTGGAGTGTGGGCCCATTTCACTCTCCACCAATCCTGCGAAGGAGGTACTACTTTCATTCTCTTTTAGTTGGGGAGACAGACCCAGAGAGGTCAAGCAGCTGGCCCAAGCTCCCACAGCTGAGCTCTCCAGCTAGACTGCCTGGTATTCTGCAGCCCTTGCAGCAGGTATCCACATCTGCCCGGTTTTTGGAGGCGACGAGGCTGGGCCACTTTGTCTACGGCACTGTGTGCAGTTGCCACTTGATGGCTAGTCCCTCGACGCCCCTCCCCTGCACGGCTCAGGCTACTAATGCACCTCTGTGACAAAGGCACCCACCGCCCAGCTCCAGGCCTGGCCCCTGGCCTGGCCCTTGGCCCATCTCCTCTCTCGAGAGGCTCAAGGTACGCTCCAAGGCCACTCGGCAGGATCTGAAGTCCCTGCTCTTTGTTYCCAGCTGGACACTGACCATCCGGTCAGCGCTCAGAGTGGGAAGGAGCTGCGTTCCGCCCTGGCCTGAGCCACCTGCAAGGAGCAGGCTGGGTCTTCTTTGCTGGTGGCCACTGACTTGCCGAGGGGATGTGGGTCACAAGGGAAGCCACCAGGACTGGCTGGGAGCTGGGGGGCGCCCCGCCAGGAGGCCTGGTTCCCACAGTAAGAGCAGGTTTGAGGAAGGGAGGAGGCAGCCGGAAGAGGGGGCTGTGTGGGGAGGGGCCACGCAGGGAGATGAGGCTCTGGCATCTACCCTGCAGATCTCAAGGCACCGCATGAACCCGCCAGCCAGCCCCAGCAGGTCCCCCGCAGGCCCCCAGGGTGAGCCTGCAGGTGTCCACGTCCAAACTGAGCGCCAACAGGGACCCTGCTCAGGGCCTCGGCTGGCAGGACAGGTGGGCTCTGCCTACCACCTGACCACCCCTGGCGTCCGGTGTCCGCAGGGCTCAGCCTCCAGTGAGGCCAGAGTCCAGGGTGATGCAGTGCCCAGGAGTCCAGGAAGGACGAGGTGGTGACACGCAGCCTGACTTTGTGTGTGTGTGTGTGTGTGTGTGTGTGGTATCAGGGATTGAACTAGGGGCCGTTAACCACTGAGCCATGCCCCCCGCCCTTATTATGTTTTATTTAGAGACAGGGTCTCACCAAGTTGCTGAGGGCCTCACTAAGTTGCTGAGGCTGGCGTTGAACTCGAGATCCTCCTGCCTCAGCCTCCCAAGCCCCCCCGGGACTACAGGGGTGAGTACCACCACGCCCGGCCCACCCACCTGTGCCTTTGGGGAGAGCCCAGCCTCAAAGCCCCTCTTGGATCCACCCCAACTAGAACCTCTCCCAGGCTCCCAGAATCAAGCCTTYGGTCTTTGGGTGTGTTCTCCTGGGCCTCTGTACCTAGGACCTGTCCAAGGTGACGGTCATCGTAGTAGCCACCACGAAGTAACCGGGTCGACGTGTCAGGCAGACCCTGGGCAGGGTGGGGGCTGATTTCACCTTTAGCTTTATTCCCTTTACAAAAAGTGCAAGTCTCCGAGAAGCCACCTGCCCSAGGCCACAGCACCCGAGGTGGGGAGGCCCGAGGTTGAGCCCAGGTCTGTCTGGCTCCAGCCACGAGGACGCTTCCCGTCTGTTGTGCGTGTCCCTGTCTCTGAGGACGCTGGGACGGACCCCAGGGAGGCCCTGGGGAGTGGYGCTGGGCAGAGTTGGTGGAGGGCTCGCTGTGCCATTTGTCCCTGTGTCCCCAAGAGTCAGCCCTGGGCATGGCCCGCAGTGGCCATTTGGTGAGAGAGCAAAGAGTCCACACCAGCTCTTCCCGCCTGGGCCGGGGTCTCCTTCCTCAGGGGCCAGCCACCCACTGAGGCTCATTTGTCAGCTGCAGAGAGAAGACTCCCTGATTCTGGGTGATGGGTTCCCAGGGCCTTGCTAAGGCCACCCAGGGACCTCAGAACTCACAGTGGGCTCACTGGGGCCACTGCAACAGAAATCGTAAGTCACTCTCCTATACACGGGCCTCTGCCTGTTCACGTCTGCTCTCACTAACATCTTCAGAGCAGCCCAGCATGAAGGATGAACCACAAGGGGTCCAGAGAGGGTAAGTGACTTGGACTCGGTCACACAGCTCAGGACAGCGTAAGAATTTGTAAACAGACTCAAAAGCCTGGGTTCCTTCCACCTTTAAAGGCAGCTCTTCCAGGGTTTGGTGACTGACAAGGGACTGGAGGGTTGAGACTCAATCCCAGGCCATGAGAAACGTTACACAATGGGGCTGGGTTCAGCCCAATCCCTCCCGGAAGTGTTTCCCATGGTGGTTTGAGCAAACGCTGTGCCTACACTGAGTTATTTCAGAAACCCGCAGTGTCTCCTACCCACTGACCACAACTCCCCGGATATCTGCAGACTGTTCAGAGAGGAGAGGGGATGCTTTCTCCACCACATTTCTGTTTATTCCAGGAGCAAAATCTCCAACCGCTTCAGTGAGATCCACAGCCTTCCCCAGGGCTGCCGCGGGACGCTCAGGAAGGTCTGCCCTGGACAGCGGGGACAGCCAGCCCTACCCGGGATCCAAACACCTCCTTCCTGCTCAGGGCTAAGGGAGCAGCTCTCTTCCTCCATCTGACCTGGGAATTCCTAAGAATCTGTTCTCAGACCAAATCTCAGGCACAAATGTTACCACCTGCATTATTTCTAATGGCAAAACCTTCGTCTAACATCAGGGGCACGGTGAAGTGAATGATCACCCACACAATCACTGGAGCCATTAAAAGGGAAAAAATTTACAGGACCTAGGAAAACACTCACCATGTAACATTGAACCAAAAAGTCACAGAATAGTATGTGGGGGGGGGGCACACAGAAGGAGAGAGGGGAGGGGAGGAGCCCAGGTGCCAAGAGCCACAGCTACACCCAGTGTAGCCACAGCTACACTCTGCCTTATCTTTTTGACACTTCCCCTCCTCCGGACATTCCTAGGATAATCAGAAAAATAAATACACACCCGCTACTCAAGTCCACGGCCCACACCCAAAGAAGGAACTCGTCTGCACCGCCAGCCAGGTTCCGAGGCTGACCGGTCTAGGAGAAGGAGGGTCGCTGTCCCCTTTCCCATGACGCCAACACCTGGGACAGGGCCATGCCTGTGGGGCTGTCCCTTGTAAATCTGCCCTTAGGTTTTCCTGGGAATTTCCATCTTGGTTCTTTGGTTCCAGATTCCAGGAACCTTCTGGGGTGAGGGTTAGGGGGAGTGGCTTCCTCTCTCCAGGGCAGGGGGTGGCCGGGCTGTGGCAGCATCGTGGGGCAGAAATGGCTGCAGAGGGGGGCTGGTACGGGGGTGGCGCTATGGTTGACATGGGAGGCTGGGCACAGCAGAAGCCCCTGCAGCCTCTGTGGGATCAGGGGGGGACGTCCAGGGCTCTGGGCCTGCGGCTGGCCCGGGGCGAAGCCAGCGGACTGCAAAGCTGCAGGCAAAACTCGGGCTGCCCCGACTCCAGGTCCTGGAGCGTCCCAGAGACACGGGCGCCGGGACCCTCAAGGCAGCCTGGTCCCCAGCCCACGGGAGCCTGTGCAGCCTCCCAGGACGGCTCCCGCACCATCCCACAGCCACCTTCAGGGGAGCAGAGTCCCAAGCCTTCCCCTCGGCACCAGGTCTCCAGCCCTCCCCTCCCCCATCACGACTCCAAGTTTCTTTGCTCCAAAGACCAAGTGGTCACTGCGCACCCAGAAATCCACACGGCTGGAGAGGCGCGGGGGCCCCCAAGTCCGGGAAGCAGGGGCAGCTCTGAGGTGGAAGTAGAGCCCCAGATGTGACTCAGCACCCCAGGCATCGACTCACCGAATATGTGGCCCTGGTAGCCGTCCTTGCTGAGCGGCCGGAGCTCGTTCTTGCCCATGGCGTAGCGCCGGTAGTTGGCCCAGGCGAACTGCATCATCTGCCAGAAAGAGCAGAGGACAGGGACCTCGGTGAGGGATGCCACCGTGTGGGCGAGCCCCGTCCACCCCGGGCAATGGGCCTTCAGCCCATTTCGCGGTGGCTGTCTCCCTGGCTCTGGGGCCCGAGCTGCACGCGCCTTGCCTCGGTTTCCCCCAGAGCGCCCAGCACGGGGCTGGGCACACCGAGGCCTCAACAGGAGCCGGGCACTGTGTCACCTGGCACACCCCGAGCTCACCTCACACCAGCACCTGCTCCCCAGGCTGCACCTGGCCCTGGAGGCTGAGGGACATGCACGGTGACCGCCTGCCCGTGCCCCCGTCCCCTTGTTCCCTCCCCGCCCAGGGATGGTGTCCCCCATCGGCCTTTGCAGGGCAGGTTGCAGGAGGCACAGCAAAGCTCTGGGTGGGAGCAGGGAGCACGGAAGGCAGAGCCCAGGGGCCCCTGCAGTGAAAAGAACTCGGGCTGCGAGATCAGAGAGGTCTGGTTTCTAACACTGCCTCTGCCACCCTCCCTGGGGCTCTGGCTGAACGTCCCCGAGTCTCAGCTGCCTCCTCCGAGGTCTACTGACAAGGCATGAGCCTGCTTTGCCACATCCAAAGGTTTCCATGAGCGACAGAATGACATGCCCCCTTCCAGCAGCAGGGGAGTGGCGGTCCCCGGGTCACTTCCCGCCTCGAGCCTCACCCGGGGCCCAGCCTCACTTCCATTCACAAACACTGGCTGCCCCAGAAGCCCCGGGGGCAGTGGAGACGGGTGGGCGGCCCCACCCTGAGCTCCCACTCGGCAGGCTGAGGAAGAGCTGGGAACTGCCTTTCTGACAGTCCCCCGTGATGTGCCGGTCCCGGGGTCACATCTGACAACCACTGATGAATGCGTCACAGGGTGAGTGTCCCTTGCCCCAGATGCTTGGACCTGGAGGAGGTTTCGATTTCAGACTTGTGTGAATTTTAGAGAATCTGCATCTGCACCATGAGGCGTCCTGGGGGGCCCGAGTCCAGCCGCGGATCCCTCTGTGCCACACACTGCTTAGACGCGCGGCCTGAAGATGACTTTGCACGGTATTTCTGGCGTACCTGCATTTTCACGGTGACCATCCCCAGAGGCCAGGTGTGTGGCATCAAGCTCTTGCCAAGGTTCACACTTCGGAGCACCGTGGACCTCTGACCAGGGACGCTCAGCCTGGACTTGTGCCCGTGACCCCCCTGCTGGACACCGTGCTGCGGCCTGTGGCTTTCTCTTCCTGTCCCTTGGCCTGTGTTGTCTCTCCTGGTGGCCCTCTTTCTAGGATGTCACCTGCGTCCTCCATGAGGGGCAGCCCCTGGTGCCCAGGCTTAGAAGCCACGTCTTCCAGGCACAACCGGACAGTGCCCACGGATGCACCCACTGCCATGGCCCAACGCCCAGACTCGGAGGGCAGACCTGAAGGGAGTGTGGCCCGCCTTCCTGGAAGACGGAGGGACACTCCAGCGCCACCTCCCCATCCCGTCGCTGATGGAACGGAGGCTCCTGGAGGAAAGCGGTCACAACGGCGCAGCCAGGTGGCTGGAACCCAGCCCTTCCGTCTCCCTGTCCGCAGGTCCCCTCAGTGCTAGGTGACGTGAGGCTCCCCGTGCAGCACACGTGCAGATGTCATGGACACAGGCCAGGCGCCTGGCACTGCCCTGGGCCTGGCTCTCCCCCGCCGCCATTTTCTACTTATCTTGAATTGGCAACGGGGGCCTCCTCCCTCGGCCTCTCTCATCGGGGTCCCCCTGTGAAGTGGGTGGGGGGAGGGGGGGAAGTGGCCGTGGGGGAGGGGCAGCGGCAGCTCCTCAAACAGAAATGACAGCAGAGAAGAAGGGGGGGGGACCTCACCTGGAGCTGCCCCCTCACAGGGAGGGACACGGTCGGAGCAAGTACGGGAGCCACGGTGGCCTCAAAGGCACCGTCACTGCAGGGATGTGGAGGTGTTTGGAACGCGTCCCATTCTCCCTGTCACCCACCTCCACGGAGTGGACAGAAGCAGGGCCCATCCCAGGAGCCTGGGGCCGGATTCCGAAGGCGTCCCACAGGCCCTCAGAGCACAAGCCTCGCCCCGGCTGGGCCTCAGGGGGCTCCACCCAGGGGCTGGATGAGCAGGGGGCAGAAAGCCCCTCGTCCTCCAGCCAGTAGCCTTCCTCCCTCCTGCCAACACACCTGCACCAAGCGCTGCCAGGGCCTGGTCCCCGGCTGAAGCCACGGGGTCCCTCTCCCAGCTTCTGCTCTCTTCCCAGCTGCCACCCGCTCCTCTTCCTTCAGTCTCACTGCAGGGCACGTCTACAGGGAGACCCCGTTCCCAGACACACACCCAAGTCACACTCCCGCCCACAGTCCTGCCGCGCAGTCCCTTATCCCTGGCCAGTATTCACCGCTGGGCACCCTACCACTCACCCAGCCGCCGGCTCATAGAAGGTGCTCATTAAAATATTTGCCAACTGAATATCAGAAGGGACGAGAGCGCTGGCTCTGGAGCTCCACTTGCGGCCAGAGACTCGGTGCAGACCATGAACGACACAGGTAGGACACCAGCAGGTGAGAGAAGTCGGAGGGCAGAGGCTGGTGAGCTCAGGAGGGGGCAGGTGCAGGTTCAGGGGTGCCTCAGCCCAAGCCACTACAGAGTTTCACAGGATGCTTCCTTAATCAGCCTGCATCTGCTTTTGGTAAGGACCAGACATCCAAGTGTGAGCTTGCCCCGGTCACCACTGGACCAGGTCCTGCAGGCTCGGACTAGCCATTTGTCCCTAGTCCATCCATCTTGTTGGAATCTGCCTGTCAACCGGGGCTGCCAGGATCTTTCTGGAACCAGCTCTCACTGCTCAACACATGTGCGTCTTCCTACTTTGAGCAACTGGCAAAGCCGTCGGGCTGCCACGTGTGTCTCCCCAGGTTTTGGACAGAGGCTTTTGTAGCTGGCTGAGGACGGAGCCAGGAGGCAGCAGAAGAGCCTCGCTCCCGGCTCCGGGAGCTGCCTGTCATCCATCTGCAGACGAGGAAGCCGCCAAGTGATCAGCGCAGCCCCCGGCTCTCCATTTTTGTACATGAAGATATTGTGAAAGACGAGGCTGGAACAGAAAAACACCCTGCCCTAGTACAGCTCGTACAGAAGGAATAAATTGCCTTAAAAAAAAAAAAAAAAAGAAAGAAAGAAAGAAAATAAGGGGTTAGACGAGCATGATTGTTCTCAGAGAAATCATTTTGGCTTCTATGAATCATTATTTTTTTGTTCTAAACGCCTGCAAATTGCTGACTTAAAGACCTATTAGACCTGCTAGAATGGTTACACCCAGAAAGGTGGCCAAGCCAAGGTGCCGGCCAGGACGTGGGGCCACGGGGACCTGTATAAATAGCCAGTGGAGAACAAAACGCTGCAGCCACTGGGCGGGGGAGGGGGGGATGTCAAATGTGGTGTCACCAGAGAACCTGGCAACGCGGATCCTAATGTATACCTGCACGGGGAAGAGTCGACGCAGCAAGTCGGAGAGATGTGGCTCAGAAAGGGCTGCCTGCAAGGCTGGGCCTGGGAGCCTGGGAAAGTGGATCCCGTGAGCGAGCGTTCCCACCATCATCTAGTGGATAAGGGTGGCTCGCGGTGCTGGTGCCGGGCTGCACAGACCTCGGGGCTAATGCCGGGCATCTGCTTTCCTGGCGGGAGCCTGGGATTTCAGGGCACCTCAGGCAGAGGGTGCCTACGGGACCAGCCCCCAGCAAAAGCCCCGAGCAATGAGTCTCTGAAGAGCTTGCCTCCTAGACAACACCGTCCACGGCGTCAAGACTTCATGCTGCAGGGATTAAGTGTGTGCCGTCCCTGGGAAGGGACTCTTGGAGCCCGCACCTGGTTTCTTCTAGACATCCGCGCATGCACATTTTCTTTTTTTAAAAAATACCTTTATTTTTATTTATTTATTTTTATGCGGTGCTCAGAATCGAACCCAGGGCCTTGCACGTGCTGGCGAGCACTCTACCACGGAGCCACAACCCCAGCCCCTCAGGCACATTTTCTTTGGCTCATTTTGTGGTGTGTTCTTTCACGGTAGCAAATCCTAGCTGTGAGTGGGACCGTGGCGAGTCCTCAAGTCCTCCTAGTGAATTGCTAAACCTAGGAGTGATCTCAGGGACCCTTGACAAAATAAAAACATAGGTCCACACAGAAATAAATGTTCACAGCCGCAATATTTATCCTAGCCAAAAAGTGGAAACAACCCCAATGTCCATCAACTGATGGATGGATCAAGTACATGTGGTATATCCATACAATGGAATATTATTCAGACATAAAAAGGATCAAAGCACATGTCACACCATGGGCGATAAATACTATGCCAAGCAAAGAAACCAGACACAGAAATGCTACTGAGTGTCTGATTCCATTTAAATGAAATGTCCAGAATAAGCAAACACACACTGGCAGGAAGTGGAGTGGTGGTGGCCAGGAGCAGGGATGGGGAAATGGAGAGTGCCTGCCAATGGGCCTGAGGTCTTCGGGGTGATGAAAATATTCTAAATTGACTGTGGTGATGACCGTATGACTAGATATACAAAAAACACTGAATGCCACACTTTCCAAGGGTGGATTTTTGTGGAATGTGAATTCTATCTCAATAGAGGTGTTACTTAACATTAGTGGGAACAAATCCCACACACCCTTTGATTTGACACCTAGCAGGACATATTACCTCGGGGATATTTCTGCCAAAATTGCCTGATGTGAACTAACCATGAGGAAACATCAGTCAAACCCCAACTGAGTAACCTCCAGGGTCGTGAATCCATTTCTTCAAACACAACTACAGGTGACTCACACCTGTAATCCCAGCTACTTGAAAGGCTGAGGCAGGAGGATCACAAGTTCAAGCCCAGCCCTGGCAACTTAGCAAGACCCTGTCTCACAAAGGGCTGGGGTGTGGCTCAGTGGTAGAGGGCGTGCCTGGCATGCACAGGCCCTGAGTTCCATTCCCAGCCCTGCAAAACAATCAATAAACA